TTAATGCGAGCAGCTACTGGTAGCCAGTGCAAATTGATGAACAGAGGTGTGACGTGCATTCTTTTTGGCTCATTAAAAACTAATCTTGCAGCCGTATATATATATATATATATTAGTACTTGCGAATATGTTCCCTTACAGTAGTAATACTTTTATGGTACTATTATGAGCTCTTTAGGGGTAAAAAAGGTACAAAGTTATCTCTTTGAGGGTACAAAAATTTGTAGTGGTAATTTTCTGCCAGGACATTAATTTTACTGACTACTATACAATGAAGTGCAAAATTCAAAATGCAGCCCTGTTGAAAAAAACAGCATATGCTGGTTAGGTATGTTTTGACGCTGGGATGCTGGTTTAAGCTGGTCCTTTGCTGGTTTAAGCTGGTCCTTTTGCTGGTTTATGCTGGTCATGTGCTGGCAAAGGACCAGCATAAACCAGCAAAGGACCAGCATAAACCAGCAAAGGACCAAAACATACCTAACCAGCATATGCTGGTTTTTTCAACAGGGAGGAAAAACTGAAATTCCTTCATTAAAACAGTACACTGCAGGACTTAAAGGATCTGCTTCTGATGTCTTGGCCTTGATGCGTCAGAGCAGTTTTTGCAGCACAAGAGGGACCAACATGATTTTACAGACAGGTTTAATGTTGTAGCTGATTAGTGTATGCATAGTGCTGTGTTATTATTACAATGTTACGATTAGCAAGCTGACAAAGACCAAAACTTGGACATCAAGTTGAAGAAGTGTGATGTCAGGCCAGTGTATATGAACTGGATCAACATCCCCTCAAATATGACAACGATAACCTAAAGTAGCTTTTCATGTGTATAATGCTTGTCTCTCATATCTCCACTTGAATTACTGATATTTGTTTATATCAAGGTCTTAAGAACACCAGCACACCAAAACACAGTCAGTGTCTCATAATAAATTCTTTTAGGAATAGCCTTTAATTTTCTCAGAAAGAAAGTGTTGCATCCTCAAAAATGACAAAAAAACAAACAAATAATTCTAGACATTTTTAACAAATAAATAACTTCATCTTTCTGAGGCGACTTTTAAAAATGACTTTTTAGAATTATAGTGTAACCACAGGCATGGTCAATCACATAAACAATACTTTATCATCATTTCAAACGTATAACTATCATAGTTTTATGATTGGAACCCTTTGAAATTCTAAAATATTTGCTTGAAAATTATGGTCATTTCAAATAAATGCTTCTTGTTTGATTTATTTGTTATAATATGTAATGGCATTTAGACCTAAACTGTATTTTTAAGACCTGTGGTATGTTTGTGGCAAGATTAAAATGAACGTTGCATACAAAAACGAATTATAAAAAATATTTGCATGGTATAACTGTTTTTTTTTAATTCCGCGATTGGCTTTTATTTTGAAAAGTCAATAACACCTCCAGCCATTTCCGGGTTGTCAGTTCGTGTGGACGTGCATGTTGAGACACAGGAAAGGTGAGGCTTCTTCTGCATGGACTTTACATCTGTGTCTCAATGTTGTGGCGCAACTAATGTTTATTGTTCTCTTTCATCTGCTTGAATAACAGCTGATGCACCTTTTACTGTGTGTTGACATGGGACTAAATCGAAATGCAACTGGAGGAGGTGTGTTCAGCCTCCAGCTTTGATTTTGTTATCATATAGACATGAAGACATACATAATATAACAAAGTGAAATATAATAATTTCAAATAGATATAGATTGTTTAGAGTATTGCCATCTCTTTGAACATGTACCATGGTAATAATACCATGGTATTGTTTTAAGTATTTTGCAGTTCCATGCAAATACCACATTATAATGATGATAGTAATTTAATGTCATAGTGTTTTACCTTTTTGTACCGTCGCTGTACCAGAGTACAAACCTAGTACTTATTATAAAAATACAAAAATGCATTTTTTTTTTCTAGATTTTCAGTAAGACATGGATCTGAAGGAAGTGGGCGTGTTTCCATCAGCGGCCCACAGCACTGGAGCACAGGAGTCTGATTTAGGAGAGGCGGCGAGGACACTTGATCTGCACCCATCAGGAGCTTCCTATGATCTGGGTGAGAATGCAGGGGTTCACATTATACGTTATGCAAATTGCATTCATGCATTGCAATATGCTAACCTGTACATTTAGATACTGTACCACTTATTTGTGAAAAGTCCAAACCGACCTTGACTTTGATTTCACTTGATAACCTATAGTAATGTGACCCTGGAGCACAAAACCAGTCATAAGGGTCAATTTTTCGAAATTGAGGTTTATACATCATCTGAAAGCTGAATAAATAAGCTTTGCACTGATGTATGGTTTGTTAGGATAGGACAATATTTGGCTGATATACGAATATTTGAAAATCTGGAATCTGAGGGTGCAAAAAAATCTCCAAATGAAGTTCTTAGCAATGCATATTACTAATCAAACATTAAGTTGATATATTTACAGTAGGAAATTTACAAAATATCTTCATGGAACATGATCTTTACTTAATATCCTAATGATTTTTAGCATAAAATAAAAATCGATAATTTTGACCCATACAATGTATTGTTGGCTATTGCTACAAATATTCCCGTGCTACTTATGACTGCTTCTGTGCTCCAGGGTCACATATGTCATCAGAAACTTTCTTATTGTTTAGCTGCCAAATATACTAAACACATGTACTGTATATATCTGTACATATATAACTAAACATTGTCGTTTTCCTTTCAAACGTCACCACAGATAACCACGCAAAGAGTCTTTCTGCCAGAGCGAAGCCTTTTCAGTGCTCTCAGTGTGGGAAGGGTTTTTCCCGCATTCAGCATCTGTCCGAACACGTCCGGATTCACACAGGAGAGAGGCCTTTTGAGTGCTTGGTGTGTGGAAAGACTTTCACCCGAGAGAGAGACCTCAAGACCCATCAGATCGCCCATACCGATGCGAAAGCCTTTCACTGCACGATTTGTGTTAAAAACTTCGCCCTGTTATCCTCCTTGAGAAGACATCTGCGTGCATTTCATCAAGGTACAAAATGTTGCTATGCACAATGCAGTGAATAGGACTAAAGACAATAAGACATTATAGTGGCTTTACAACGGATGGAGTGTTGTTAGGCCCAAAATGAAGTGGACTGCCAAAACCCCCCTTTACTGTCGTATAGTTAACTCTGTAAAACCTAATTAAGCTTGTAAAACACCCGAAACCTCTGAAAGAGTGTCCTGGCAGTTTATGGTCTCATCCAATCAAATTTTAGAGTCAAAATGGACTGTTTTATAAAGATTTATTACAATTTATGTCCATTACATTACAATTACATAATCCAAATACAAACACAGAAATCAGTGCTTAAACATAAAAATGGAAATTTGCTAAAAATATATTTACTGAAGGAGAGTTTGATTCTTTATTGGAACAGATTTGTTGAGAGAGAGAAATGTAGCATTGCATCAGTGTCTCAGCAATGGATGCTCTGCAGTGAATGGGTGCCGTCAGAATGAGAGTCCTAACAGCTGATAAAAACATCACAATAATCTGTATAATATACATACTATAAATGAAGTTAATAATACATAAAACAAGTCCATCAATTAACGTCTTGTGAAGCGAAAAGCATGTTTGTAATGAATCCATCATTAAGACATTTTTAACTTCAAACTTGCTTTTTGCTAAAATATGAGTCCATAATCCATAATATTGCCTTCTCCAGTGAAATTTCATCTCGTCTGAATCAGAGGAGAAATCTGCACAAATCAAGCACCAATTACAAGCCAAAATAGCTCTAAACAAATCTGTGGGTGGATTTTGATGTGAGAGACAACAGGAGATGGACTTTTTCACTGAAAGAAGCAGTATTCTAGATTATGGGCTTGTATTTTTGGATGGTTTAAAGTTAAAAACATCTTAACGATGGATTTGTTTCTTACAAACATGCAGCTTTTCGCTGAACAAGACATTAACTGATGGACTGGAGTGCTGTGGATTACTTGTGGATTATTGTGATGTTTTTATCAGCTGTTTGGACTCTCAATCTGACGGCACCCATTCACTGCAGAGCATCCATCGCTGAGCAAGTGATAGAATAATACATTTCTCCAAATCTGTTCTAATGAAGACACAAACTGAAACCAAGTATCCTCTTTTTTTGCAGGTCAAGATGTTAGTACGGAGGGTAAGTGCTTAATTTGTGTCGAATGTGGGAAAAATTTTGAGTGTCAGCTGGAGGAACATGAGCTAACACACACGGGAGAGATTTCCCACCGCTGCCCCGACTGCGTCAACAGCGCCGCTCGTCTATCCGGTCTCACATCTCCTGAACAGACCTTCTCTGAATCGGAGGACATGAACCATTTGGACGCTCATGACAGTGAGAGGCCTTGCTCTTCTGTGGCCTCTGAAGATCTACACAAGCACTTACAAACCGACGTACTTAAGGACATTAGTGAATCTCACCCTCTGGAACTTATAGATAATATTGAGAGCGATGCACCTAATGAAAACATTCCCCAAAGTCAAGCTCCATCTCCTCCCTCTGAGCTCTCTCACGACTCTGCACATTCTGCTGAAAAGGGTGAGTCTAATAATTACAAAAACCTTACCATTGCACTCATCGTTTCTACCAGAATACCATATCCCAGAAATCTCAAAAGAGGTCCAAAATCACACTTTACGTACCACATTGTGTAATTTTCTCTTCCCAGGCATTGAAACGCTGAATCCTCTTCAAGAGGAAGAGCCTGCAGCTCACAAGCAAGCGTGTGATGAAAACAAGCCGCATCAGTGCAATCACTGTGGAAAGAGATTTCATAAGCAAGCGAAGCTTCGGATCCATCTGCGCGTTCACACCGGAGAGAAGCCGTACCAGTGCTCCCAGTGCGGGAAATACTTCAGCCAAGCAGTAAACCTCAGAAAACACCACCGTACTCATCACACGGAGGAGAGACCCTACCACTGCACACTCTGCGACCGGAGGTTTTCTCTCTCCTTCTCGCTGATAAAGCATCAACGTGTCGCTCATCCAGGTGAGATCAGCAAATTGAAGTTTTGAAATAAAGCGGAGGAGGAATAGCAGAGCCCCCAAAATATGGAAGTCAAACAGTTCGCTAAATTTGACCCCTCTGAGGTTATTTTGTTGCGACATCTACTATTCAGAAGTTACCAAAATCAGGTGTTTCAAACCTTTTCTGACCTTTCAAGACCCCCTTCCTGAAATGTAAAGGCATTTATTCTGTAAAAAATATCTATAAAATACTTCTATTATGTTTCTTTTTGTTGCCTTTTATTTGTTAGTAGAATAAAATAAATTTATTATGAAAATCATCATTAGCGTTAGTAATATCTTCAATAGTTTTAAATTATTAATATTTTTCTTTTAACACATTTTTAAGGACCTCACAGAGTTTCACAAACTTTTTGACTCCAAGGCACAACAATATTCAAAGACCCCTTGACTTTTCCAGTCGTCTGTGATAAGGATTACGGATAAGGATTTTTAGAGATATTTATATATACAATATACATATACGTATATAATAAATATATACATTTAAAATATTTATATTCAGTTGTCAGTCATATATAAACAAAAAATATTTTAGAGCATAACTAGAAAACTGTATATTTAATATAAAAATGCCCATGGCGGTTTAATATTTTATTAATTTACTTTTCCAGGTCAAAAAAAAAAAAAAAAAAAGCACGCTTTTAAAATTAGGCTACCTCATATATTTAGGTTTTCTAAGACTGTGAATCCTGGTGCTTCAAAGAAAAACAACAGTTCATTCAAAATAACAAATATCTTAATTTTGTAAATTTTTTTCACTTAATGCTTATTTTATCATATTTAAAATCATTTAAAGTCTTCTTGAAGCTTGTTGAGAACCTGCTGCCCAGTTTGCAAACCATTTTGTTTAAATCACCAACAGCATTGCTAAAAATGGTTTGGTGTTATCAATTTCATATATCATTGAAAATACTGTTGATTAATTTCTTTTAACAGAACATTTGAGTGTTGCTGAAAGAAATCGTATTACCTGTCCATACTGTGGAAAAATATTCGGACGACATCAAGATATGGAGCAACATAAACGCATTCACACTGGAGAGAGACCGTTCCGTTGCACCGTGTGCAACAAAAGCTTCAGGCAGCGTTCGGTGTTGATCGTGCATCGGAAAATTCACACCGGAGAAAAGCCTTTCGAATGTTTCATATGCTTCCGACGGTTTTATGGTCCCCATACTATGGAAATCAATGGGGACCAGCAACGGTTTACTTACCAAAATTTTATGTTGGGATGGAAACAAGGTATATTGATATTTCTACAAATATGGAGTCATAGTCATCGGATTACTATAATAACTAGTAACAGGGTTGACATTTTAGTTATTTGATGATAAATAGGCAAACAAACTTGTCCTTGGAACTAAAAGGGTTTATTAGAAACATAATTTAATGTTGATAACTCAGAGAATGTGCCCTTTTCAATAATCATTTGTTTACTATAAAAAATCCTGGTAACAGGGTTGACTTTTTAATAATAAGCAAAGATACTTGTCTTTGGAGAGTTCAGTTCCTGAAAATATTAAGTATTTTTTACAGAATTGTTGTGTAAACAATAGCATGGTAACAGGGGTGAGGTGCTGATGGTAATAGGACTGACATCAATCTCGTAATCTTGACTCTACAAATGTTTATTAGAAAGATCAATTTAATGCTAATATTTCTACCAATATCCACTTTATTGAAAAGTAATTTGTTTACTATACAAAATCCTCGTAACAGTGTTGGCTTTTTAATAATTTATGAAGAAAATTTGTCTTTGGAGAATACACATTCTAAAAGGATAGGTTTACAGTACTGTAATACTATAGTATGGTAACATGATGATAGGATGATAGCCATTTCTTAGTCTTTGCACTAAAAGGGTTTAATAGAAAGAGCATTTAATGCCGATATTTCTGACTTTTCAATAATTTGTTTACTATACAAAATTATTGAAGAAAATTTGTCTTTGTAGAGTTCACTTCCTGAAAGGATTAAGAATTGTTTTCTGTAATACTACAGTATTGTAACAGGGGTGAGTGATGATGGTAACAGGGTTGATGCTTAACCTGGAGTTTCAATTATGTTCTCAATTGAACTTTTATTTGATAATGGTTTTGTTAATATGGATTCTTCTTCTTTGTAATTTTAACAGATCAGCATGTTGACAAAGAGGGGAAGTGCTTCCCCTGCTCTTATTGCGGGAGAAAGTTTGGTCGACGCCAAGGCTTGTTACAGCACGAGCGAATTCACACAGGTGAAAGACCCTTCAACTGTCCCACCTGTAACAAAAGCTTTCGTCAGAGATCGGCTCTGATTGTGCATATTAAAACACACACAGGAGAGAGGTCATTCCTGTGCTTTGTGTGCAATAAGAGCTTTTATACCCCAGGAGACTTGAAGAAACATCTGGAAATTCACACAGGAGTGAGGCCACACAACTGCCCTGTATGCTTCAAGGGGTTTGGGCGTCCCAGTTTCCTCCGAGCTCACATGCGAATTCACGAAAGTACGTTTGAAATGGCAGTCCTGAAAAATTGACCATCCAAACTTATTTTTTGTATATTTCTCGTGTTTTTAATGATTAGCAATTTAATTTTACAGATTTTTTTTCCTCTTTGATTTCCAGAAGCTTCAACAAATAAGCAAAGTGGAATGGAGAAGCCAACAGGTGCTCCAAAAGTCGATGTGCAGGAGAAGCCATTTGAATGCACTCATTGTGGGAAGAGATTCAGTCAGCATTGTATGTTAAAAATTCACCAGCGGATTCACACAGGAGAGAGACCTTACAAGTGCTCTCAGTGTGGCCTGAGTTTTCGCTGGAGGAGAAACCTGATTGCCCACCAGAGCGGCCACCCGGGCGAAAACCCTCTCCAGTGTTCAATGTGTGATGAAACATTCGTCTCTGAAGCAAGTCTGAAAAAACATCAAGATGCGTTTCATTCAGGTAAGAAATTATGAGATGGCTAGGTACTGCCATGCATGCCATGAAAAAGCACTGTTTACACATTTTAATGCTTTGAAATAAAGCGTAAATTCTATAAATATTTCTTACTTACCAAGTAAGAAATGTATGTATTATATTAAAAATAAATATATAACTATATTTATTTATTGTAAATTTTTTTCTGTCAAGTTGAAGCCACAAAAAAATAGAATGAATGCCTGACAGTAAATTTTGGATTGAAGTAACCATTTTCTTTAGTAGACAATTGTTTTGTTTTTTTATTTAATTAACATAAAAATAATAAAATAAATTGCAAACTATACTGTAATTCATATATTTCCATTTACATATTCCTTAATATATTGTGTTCCATAACTGTCCAGATTACCTGTTTGGCAAAATCAGTTTTTTTTTTCAGATTTGGGGCTTTGCAAGTGTTAATTTTGGACCCATGGCAAACGAATATATAAACTGGCATCACAATCACAGGCCATAATGCATCACATGCTCAATTTGTTGATAAAATGTGTAAAAAAAAAAAAATCAGTGGTCGTATTTTTTTTATTTTAAAAATATAAATAATTTTATATTAAATATATTTATTTATTTTTTAGAATTTTTAATAATTTGATTTAATCATTAAATTAATCATTTATATTTATTATTCATATTTTAGATTATATTTATTCATTTCAGGGGTCTCCCATACATGCAGTTTGTGTTTGAAGACATTTACTCAAGCAGCCGGCCTCAGAAAACACGTTCGGTATGTTCACGAAGGTGAGCGACCGCACAAATGCTCTGAGTGCGGGAGAGGATTCGTCAAACTTTCCGATCTCGCGCGTCACCAGCGCCGCCATCATTACGACCGGGGCGACGAACTCTTTCAGTGCTCGCAGTGCGAGCGAAGCTTCAATCAACCCAGCAGTCTGGTTCTGCACCGACGGACACACACCGAAGAAAAGCACGAGTGCCCTCAGTGCGATAAGATTTTCAGTCAGGCGGGACACCTGAAGGTCCACCTGCGCACTCACACCAAAGAGAATAAACCCAAATTCGAGTGTGCTGAATGTGGGAAGAGTTTTGGCCAAGCTAAAGATTTGGTGGTTCATCAAAGGGTTCACACCGGAGAAAAGCCGTACCAGTGCCCACAGTGCAAGAAGAGCTATCGGCAGTTTGCGCATTTGTCCGTACATCTGCGAAGTCACACGGGGGAGAAGCCGTATCAGTGCCCCATATGTCTCAAATTCTTTGCTCATTCATCATCCATGAAAAAACACCTGCGTGTAATGCATGCAGGTACGGGATAGTTCATCCAGAAATTAAAATTCTGTCTGTACGACTTTCTGTTTTCCGTCTAATTTAAAATGAATGTTTTACAGAGGGGAAAGATTTACCCGTCCCAAAGGAAGTTGTGAAGGTCACTGTTGGCGTCGGCCCATCTAACACGACTGTAGAAGTTAAGCAAGAACCAGAGTCTGGTGATGAATACGGTAGGTATGACTGAGGTTATTTGAAACAGCAAATCTTCAAAAAGATATGTGTATTTTGATAACTTTTCTCACATCTTGAATAGGTGAGGGAGAATGTAGCTTCCAGCTTCTCCTTCAAAACCAAAGAAATATGCCATCGTAAAGATGGCAAAAACGTATGTGTATTGCAAGGAACGTCAGCCTTTTCAGCATTTATGTTTTCATATAAACATCCTATTGTTGTATTTGTTGGGTACAAGGATAGTCTTCTTTGTCTATAAACAGGACTGACGCTACTCTGCATGATAAAAACACTTCATTTCAATAAAGTTTTTCTTTGTGCTTCGGAAATAAATGCTACATCATGCACTCACGAATATCCACTTTTCAAAAATCATTTGGGTACAATACAAAATCCTGGTAACAGGGTTGACTTTTTAATAATGATGAAGAATATTTGTCTTTGGAGAGTTCACTTCCTGAAAGGATGAAGTAGTTTTGCAGATTTTTTAAAAATAATATTAGAGTATGGTAACAGGGTTGACGCTTAACCAATTTCAGTGACTTTTTTTTTGTATGTAACAATTTGCACTCGTATTCACAATATGAAAAATAAAGAAATAAATTGCATGTGGAAATCTGCCTTCACAGACAATAACACACACAGAACATGTCTAATTATTGCTGCTTGCAATATAACTACACTGGTATGTTTTTGCAGAACGTCAAGTGAAATCTGAAGAAAACTGCTTTGCTATAATGGATGATGTGAAGGCTGTTACGGTCTCCTCAGCTCCTTCCAGTCCATTATCATCTGTGACTTTTAAAGATGAAAAATGAATGTGGATGGAAACTAGGGTTTCTCGCCAACAATCTGCCAAGCTTCAGAGCGCATATAAGAACCTGCAGCATCAACTAGATTGCTGATGACAAAAAACATTTTTAAGAAGTAGAATTGCATTCTACACTTACTCCAGAAACTGGTCTCCATCCATGAAGACGCCAGCCTCCCTAATTGGAAAGGTGGTATTGAGACAAAAAAACTGTGATCTACAAGAATCCACACCACAGCATGGACTGTGGGGTTTAGTTAAGCAGGGATCCACGTAACCTCTTCCTTTTTTAGGAAAACAGTCGCTATTAGCGCTCCTGATCAGAACTATCCAATCTGAAGAGCTTTCTGGAGGCCTCAAACATGACCTACATATTTTTAGACTTTGTTGAGATATACACAAACTTTTCCCAGATAGAAGATCTTAAACAAATTCATACTGGAGAGAAGCGTTGACATTTGGCACCTACCTTTAGCAAACTCCATTAGAGAAATGTCCATCTCTCAGACTGGCTAAATCTTGTGCTGGAAATGACACTGATATAGTAGAGCAGGGTTCCTCAAATCTTGCCCTGGAGGGCCAATGCGCTGCAGAGTTTAGCTCCAACCCTGACCAAACTCACCTACCTGTGATTTTCTAATGATCCTGAAGACATTGATTAACATGCTCAGGTGTGTTTGATTAGGGTTAGAGCGAAACTCTGCAGGAAAGTGGATCTCGTGGGCCAGATTTGAGGATCCCTGTAGTAGAGGATCCTTTGATTCTGCTCCTGGAGGTCCATTGTCTTGCAGACGTCAGTTCCAAACCTGATCAAACTCACCTGCCTGTAATTTTCAAGTAATCCTGAAGACCTTGAGTGGCTTCTTCAGGAGTGTTTGCATTGGAGCTAAACCCTCTAGGAGGAGAATTGAATAACCCAGATATAGTAGGAAAACTTTGTCACTTTCCTGTATAATTGTTACAAACAGGCCCGCATTCAATCTGTGTGCTTGTCGTCCTACACATTCCCTGCCCTTTACATTTTCATCAGTTAAGCTCACAGCTGCATTTAATACACTTTACGGTTTTGAATCCATTCCACAGATTTTTCCCTGAAGTCAGTGTTGAAAATGTAAAATCTGCAGATTCTGGATCTGCTTAGAAGACATGCAAATACACGTCCACCAACTCATTTCACTAATGTTATTTGTGTTACTGCAACCACCTAAGTTTTTGTAATCATTTTTTTCTTGTATACATGACATCTCATAATAGATGTAAATTAAATTACTTGTATGTTTAGTCTGAAAAAGCTAACATTTTCCCTATTTTGTCTGCCTGTTTTAATGTCAAAGTCTGGTTATTTACATAATGGTGTAGTTACAGCATCTTCCAGCAGGGGCTAAACACTGAAGCCAACCAGCCAGTCCTTAACCCGTTGGTGTGGATTCATCTTAACAGAAAAATTCTGGGAACAGTCCCAATACAAAAAAAATGCATACTCGCATACTGCTCAAACCATTTCCGCAATAGAAAAATACGGTAAAAATTTATATTGCAAAGGGGTGGAGAATTTCCGGCAAGTTTCTGGAAACGTTCTAAAAATCCCTGGAATATTCCAAAAAATCCTGGAAAGTTTCCAAAATTTCTGGAACGTTTCAGAAATTTACTGGAAATTTTCCACCTTTTTGCAACCCTATGTGTAGTATGCAGTTCCGAAATCAGCACCTGTGTCCAAATATGCCTACCCCTCTACTATACAGTGCGTGAAAATGGCCGAATTCACAGTATTCATAAAACATCCAAATGACCTACTACTTTTGCAGGGATTCTGAAGTGTGTATTCTACAGATCATTCCTCATCAAATGTAGTACCTACACAGACAGTGTGACTTCGGACACACCTAGTGTCAACAGCGGTTGATAAAAATTGATAGACCTTCATTGCTTGTCAAAAACATTACCAAGCCCATTATAATTGCAGAGCGCAGAACACAAACGTATGCATTAAAGTGGCAGATTGCCTTTGGGAGGAAAGAAGAAAAAATCCTGCCACACCTTTCCTTTAATATATCTTTATTGCTTGAATAGTTTTGATACAGAACAGCTTACATTTCTGATTCTGAAGCACTCATTCGAAGAACAAGAGTAGTGTACCAAAAATGTTCTGGTGATTCTGGTTCCATTCAAGTCCAGTAGAATTATTTCTGGGGATGTAGCAGCGACACAAAGCTCCCTTTTACATCAGTCAGCACGTCAAACAGTGACAGGTCTCCATTCCTCTGCATTTTTCCAAAGAGACAGGGAGGATTAAAATAAAAAACGGAAAAAGGAGAACATATCTTGTAGAAAACCCATGAGTGGAATGTGGATTTGAGAACTCCACCCTGTTCATTTGAATTCACAGTCAAGTGCTAAAAAAAGTAGTGATTGACGATTCAACATATTCAGAAATCATATGTGAAGAGAATTTTTTGTTGCAAGAAAAATGACGATTTGAGAAAGCCTTTTGTATGAACCCTGAGAGTGAGACAGAGCGGGGCGGCAGGAGGGGCGAAACAGAAAACAATTATTATAACTGAACAACATAAAAGGTTATCATGCAAAACTACCCTACAGATTCACCCATAGCAGAATAACAGTAAATTTCACAGTTTTATACACAAAAGAATATATCAATGAAAACAACTTCTATCTCTCTGTCAAACTGAAATAATCATCATAATAATAAGATAAGAGAAACAGACCACACATTCTAAAAAAAAATGCATACAAAGATCTACATAAAGCTTTCAGATCAAAAGTGATTATTATCATCATCATCATCAAGGACCCAGATCAAAGCTGGGATGCTAAGTATTGAATTTGAATCATTTTTATGCAGCATAATTGTGTTAATACATGGCTTCTCCACATTTACTTCTTCACCCGCACTGGGTCATAATAAATACATTAAAAACATCTGTGAGCATTCTTACCAGGAAACCAATCACTTCTGCACACAGCCAACACAAAACACACTCACATGAACCCAGGAAAAGGCATCGGGGGAAGCAGAAGTCCCGGAATACACAGATAAAGCGATTGCATTCAAGTTCATCCAATACTACAAGTCTCGTGTCTGAGCAGAGATGTTAGAGCTTCACCACTAGGGGGCGCACAGCAAACTCTCTCCCCAGCCCCACTATTGGTTCAAAATTCCTTTTCCTTGTTTGCTTGCTTTTCGCATCCTGTCATCGCACTTCGGCACGTGCTGATCAGCAGGCATCCGTTTGGGTAAACGGCTGCTCCAGGAAATCAGGAGAGCTATAATCGAAGATGCTTACCAGTCCACACAATTTTCATACAGTCTCCATGCCCTTTGAGGTTTGCTTTGTTTGTGTCTGAGGTTTCTTTACAACACGAGTTCATAAAACTGAGAGGTCAAAGAGATCCAACACTACAAAAGAACGTGCGATTGACATGGGGTCCTCCTAGTTGAGGAGCGCTTCAGGACGACATCCTGACAGGAGGCAGCAGGGCGACGGGGTTCAAGTACACCATGAATTCTAGTTCGTGAGCCCGGCAGAAAGTGAGACACCTGCCTAAATGCTCAAGACGAAAAGAGTAAGGCTTAAAAAGTGAAGCTTTTGGAAGACGGTAACCCTGGACACAGGTACACATTTCATCATATTTTTGTCAAGTACATCAGATTCATAACTCATGGGCTTCCTGTAATTCCTCATTGTGTTTGCTTTTTTATTTTTGTATTCTTAAGGAGTTGAGACAGGGCTTGAGGGACATAATTCAAGAGCCCTAAAATCTAAAAACATTGCCTTTCCACATTAAAAACCATCCTTTTGTGCCAAAAAATGGAACACAATTGCTAACTAAAGACATTGACACAATCAGCACAGCTGGACATTCATCACCTGTTTTGGGCAAACATTGCCCATATACTTAACGCGGCAGCTGCTGAACATCGTTTTGCTTGGCTGTTTCCCCAAAACATCTTTACACGACGCAGCACCCAGAATAACAGAGCTGTTATAAAACAATTACTCTGGAAGCCTCCGTCATTAAAAGAATTACACAAAATGGGAAACTGGCAAATTAAAGAGGACAAACAGCAACGAAGGAGCCCTATGGTGAACAAGTCGTCTTTGCGTATTCCAGTTATGCACTTGGGTGCAAGCCTCTCAGTAGAAACATGTCCTCTTGTTAATCTCAGCCGTCGCTGGATAAGGGTATAAACTTGCTTTTCATAAGGTCTCTGAACTGTACAATACGATATGCAAATTTGTTCATATATTGCTTAAAGTAGTTCTCTCAGGATTACACAAAAAAAATCGTAAAATACTATAGAAATCAACTTTCGATCATGAAAAATGCTGATAAAGATATAGCAAAAAAAGTAGAAAGGCACTTGGAAAGAGTCATTGCTTCTTTTTTCTCATTGCAATGTACTTTTGTTATATGGCACTGCTTCTTGTTGCAGCATATTTCACCACAAGAAAAGAGTCGCTCTTCACTCCACGCCAAGCAGTGGCGGCTCTGGGGTGGGCAAAATGTGCTCAGTAGTGGGCTTGGTGTGGATCTCCAGTAAGCCTTGAATGAATCCCTCCGACGGCTCTAAGTCTGATGCGGTGGGTGAATCCGATGCTTGTTTCTCTGCTGGAGGTTCTTTGGGTGTCTCTGTTGCTGATGCAGGTCCTGTCTTGGAGGTTAGTTTAAACTCTTCAGTTTCCGCAGAGGGTACACAATCCTCCTCTTTCTCCTGTGAGGTTGGTTCCCCCTTCACAGTGTCTGATAATTCGCTTTCGTTCTCAGAGGGTGGATTGGTGCTGGTGGGTGTGCACTCGCCTTCGCTAGCCGAACGCCCGCTGAAGCCGTCCTCATCTGGTCCACCTGTGACCCCGCAAGTCGAACCATCACTATCCGCTCCACGGAGTTTCTGGTGGATTCGCTGATGTCGGACCAAACTGTGCTTGAGGGTGAATGTGCGCTCACATGTCTGGCACTTGTAAGGCCTCTCACCTAGTAGACACGTCATTAAAAACATTCAGTTTTTAATAAGAAACAAGAGCTCTATGTTTTGATGATTAATTTACCAATCTATACCAATCAAGTATGTTTTTAGCATGGTCATTACCTGTGTGAGAGCGCATGTGTCTGGTGAGGTCCTGAAGGCTCCAGAAACGTTTATTGCATATACTGCACACCTTTTTCCTCTTGTCTGGCTTGCTGCCAGGTTCTTCAGTCTCTCCCTCAGCACTCTTTGGTTCAGTTGCAGCTCCCTCTTCATCACTCCTCTCCTCTTTATCCGCCTCAGACCCACTCTCCACCACACTGCCCATTCCCTCGTTCTCTGCTGTGCCCTTCCTTACACTCTCCACCTCTTCTTCTGTATCCTCTTTCTTATTTTCACAAGGCACAATTGGATCATCTGATTTTGTGAGGCTTTGTTCCGGTCCATTAGTGGAGTCTGATGCTACATCCAGCTGGTGAACTTTCTCATGTCTGGTCAAGGTAGCAGCATAGCGGAAGCTCTTCTTGCAACTCTTGCAGGTCAATTTGGACTCCTCCTGAGGTGTTGCTTTGTCAGACATGTCGCTATCTGCTGTAGGGGAGGACTGC